TGTGTGTGTGTGTGTGTGTGTGTGTGTGTGTGTGTGTGTGTGTGTGTATCCTGGCTGCGGAGCTGCTTCTGAGCAGAAGGTATCATGCAAATCATGAAGGCCCTGCCAGAGCCTGGACACTGACATACTGGTGTCCCTCACAGGCTTCCTGGGGAGCTGCGGGATGGGCCTTAAAATATCTGACATCTGTGGCCCACGGAGTCTGGTGGGGAGTCCTCAGTGGGAAGAGGCAGGAGAGGAAGGCACAGGCTCACTTGAGGTCTCCGATGGGTTGTAGCTAACAGCCGCCCTTCAGGCTGGCCTCATGAGCTTCTGGGGTGGTGCAGGAAGGGAAGGGAGGAGTGTGCAGCCAGAAGTGCCCCTGAGGTCCCTGAAATACATGGCTTTTGGGGACACTGGCTTGCAGCTGACCTGATACAAAATTAAAAGCTAGGGTGACAGGCGCCGCCAGACCCAGGAGGCCAGGACCCCATGCACCCTGCCCCAGCACTCAGAGCTACTGTCTCCTTATCCTGCCCTCAGCCCCAAGGGCCAAGGGAATTAAATATTGTCTGTTGCATGTTTTGGCCAACAGTCCTTGGGGCTAGGGGGCAGTTACCGCCACCTGGGCCTGGCTGCTGCAAGGACCCAGGTGAAGAGGAAGAGCCAGAAGAAGCTGTGGGGCTCTGGGCAGCTGGCGGCTGAGGTCTTCTGTCCCTCCTGCTCTGACAGGCCAGGGAGGGCATGGGTCAAGGGGGTCCGGGAGCTGGAGCTCTTCTTGCCGACCCTCCGGCCACAGGTGTCGTCTGGGCATCCACCACCACTGCCTGAGCCACTGCCATCATCACCTGAGGAGGACAGAAGGCTGCAGCGGCTCCTCCTACCTGGGCAACTGAGTGCTGGGCGACACCGGGAGTCTAAGGCCTGCTGCACCTGAAGACAGTCCCTGGGTCTGCCTCCCACAAGTCCCACCTGCTCCATGATAGCCAGATAGACATCCTGGCTGGCCTTCAACTGTGCTACAAGGACATAAGGCCATTACAGCACCCATGAGGGCAAAGCGCTCAGGGCAAACCCCTGGCATAGGAGTCTGGAGAGGCCTTGTACCCTTCTTCTTCTGAGCCAGGTAGATCCCTCCCCAGCCCACCCTAGCCCCAGTGAGCCTCACTGGCATCCTGGAAGTCCACATCATTGCCACCATAGGCTCCTCGTAAACGGTTGGTCATGATCTTGAGCTGCATGATCTGCTGCCGGATGGTCATGTCAGGCTTGGTGATGTCCACTTCCACTTCAGGGTTATTGATCTGGTTGGCCAGTCCATCACCCATCACCTCAGGTAGGTACCTGCAACGGGGCAGTCAGAGCACAGTTCATTACATTAGCTCTGGCAAAGGAGTCTAAGCATAGCACATGGCACCCCTACGATGCCCTGAGAGCCAGGGAACCTTAATGCATTGGTAACCCATGCAGGCACCATGGTATGGGGTACATGCTTGATGCTAGGAGCTGGTGTAGGTATGTGATCCTCTAGTCAGCTTCCCATGCTCTAGGACATTCATGAAGATGTGGCCAGCGGTGAGCACCTACCGGCCCTTGGACATTCCATTCCAGCAGCGGTCATCACTGGCAGGGCTCATGGCCATCTTCTCACTGCACAGTGTCCCTGGGAGGCTGATCCAGAAGTCCTGAATGTCTCGGAGCTGGGCCTTGGCCTCCGAGACCTGTTGGGTGGCAGTCAGACCAGTGAGAAGCCTGGGGACAAAGCCTGCCTTTGTCCACTCCCACATAGATACGGCTGTGGCCACTGAGATGGTTGAACTTACCAGCTTCTCCAGAGTACCTGTGGGGGTCTTCTCTTGCAGTGCCAGTTTTCCACGGCGACGCTTCTCCTCAGGCCCAGATCCATGGGGATTGACCTTGGGGTTTCCACAGCCCTGGATGACCTGGGGAGATACCGAAGGGGGTCTGGGCAGGGTGGCAGGGTCTCTCTGGCCCAGGTAGGGCCGTATCTGCAGTGGGTCTTCCAGTGCCCATGGTGGGCCCGAGCCCTCACACACCTTGGCTGTGAGCGTGTCCTTGTTGTCCTGGAGGGCGTTGATGGCCTCCGCCAGCCACATGTGCACACTGCCAATAACACTCTCCGCACCAGACGGGCCCCAGAACTTGTCAGTGATGAGCACCATGGAGTCTGGCAGAGTTGTTAATACATATGCACATACATACATACATCACGTGCATGACACATGGTCTGGACAGTACCAGTCAGAGGTACTGGTCAGCAGAGGGTCAGGTGAGCTCACATTCAGACCGTATGAGCTTAACATGCCTGTCAGCTCAGAGACCCCATTAAGAGTGGATACCCACACATAGCACATAGGTTTCCTGAACATCTGTTATCTTGCCTAGGTCATGTCCAAATACATCCATGTTAGCTCATACAGGGGTTGAACATGCATGAATAGCTTGTGGCCCACCATGTGCCCACATAGGCTGGTGTGTGTGCATGAGGCCCTGGACACGTGAGCCGTGTGTCTGCATGTGCATGCTTTCATGCAGCACAGATGTAACGGCATGCACACACTGGCCCACAGTGCCAACACATCTGTTGGATGAAAGATCAGCATATAACCAGCCCCTGCCAGCTAGGGGCCAGTGCTGACATGTATGTGTGCTAACTTGCCCCATATGGACAGATGTACACAGTGATTCATTCATACGTGTTAGCGTGTCTGCATGCCAGTGTGTGTACATGCAGGTACACCTGTGATTGGCAGGGAGACCCTGTGCACGCCACACCGTGTGCAGCATACATGTATGCCAGAGTGCGTGTGTTTTAAGTGTACGTACATGCAGTTGAGGCAGCTATTCCACCATATGCCTCGGGACAAGAAAATCTGTCCCTCTACCCCAAACTCCACCCAGAGCAGGCCCTCAAGCCTTTCATTTGGCTCATGCCAGGGACTACTGCCTTCCAGGACCCCTGTATGGCGCTCCCAAGGGCAGGCCAGACAGCCTGGGGGTAAAGCTCACCCAGGAGGTTCCTCCACTCAGCATCCAGGTCGGCCTGGTTGGCAAGGCAGCCTTTGAGCACATTTCGACAATAGTCGGGGCAGGGCCGGGCCCCAGGGACTCCCCGGCAATGGGCACAGTAGACCAACTTCATGATGGCCCGAGAACATTCTGGGGCCAGAGGTACCTGGAGCACAAAAGCAGCCTGAGCCTCCCTGTAGTCCCTATGCACCTGGTCACAAGCTAGTCCCGAAGGAGCCCCGCTGTGAAGGGCCTCAGATGCAAGCAAGAGCGTCTGGGCTTTGCCTGGCTCAGGCCACCTCAGGCACACATTCCAATGTCACAGTCCCACGAGACTGCTGCAACTAGGCCTCACTGCAGATAGGAAACCGAGGCCTGGAGGTCGGGAGGTGACCTATTGCACCTAGCTAAGGGTGGGGGCGGTTTAAAGCTGGTGCCCTCCCCAGGGGTCTGCCATGCTCTGTCCCATTCAGGGAGCTACCATGCTTGCTGTGAGGCCTCAGCTTGCTCAAGGCCCAATTTTATCATTTTCTTGTTTCCTGAGCCCAGCAAGTCCAATGGCCTTCTCCATCCTGCCCACAGCTTCATCTGGCCAAGGACACAGGACTGGACAGCAGATGGCTTAGAGTGGACTCACATCTGAAGACCCGCTATGAGCAACTGATAATAGGCTCCAGCTGTGAGGCTCAGGGCCAGAAGGCTCAGTGAACAGGGGTGAGTGGGGGAGGCGGGGTTTACCAAGCCCCCAGGCCATAGCGTGGGGACTTCCCAGGGGCTGCTCAGAGTGCTGGGCAGCATGTGTACCTGAGCCACCTTCCGGACTACGTCACTGGCCACACCCAGGCCCTGCACGAAGGAGCGTGCTGCCACGAAAGCACGGGTGGCCCTCAGGCGCAATTCCCGTGGGGCGTCCCCAAAAGGCCGCAGTGCCTCCGCCTGCTTGCCCAGGCAGTCCAGGTAGTCGTCAGGCAGCAGCAGCTGGGGGTGCAGCTGCTTGAAGAGGCGCTCCAGCAGGCGCGCCCAGAACTCCGCCAGCGTCTCCTCCAGGTGTAGGTTGGCGCCTCGGTAGTAGAGGCGCAGCTCAGCATATAGGTCCCGGAAGGCCCGAGTGTTCTGCGTATACAGGTCCCCAAAGGCCCCAGGGAAGGCATCCTGCAGGGTGCGCTCCGAGTCATTCAGCAGGCGCTGGAACTGGTCTGTGCACAGAAGAGAGGCATGGCAGCTTGAGAGGGCTCTTCTCTGTCAGTCTACTCATGGGCTTAGCAGCGAACCTGCTTATACGGTCAAAAAGCTGGGTGCCACATTGTGGGGGGGGTTCCTCAGGCTCTTGGAGACCTCTCTCCTCACTAGGGGTCCTCTCTGGGGTCACTGGCCTCTGTGGACTCTCCAGAGGCCAAGATTCACTGATTCTGGGAGGGACTGTAGTGGGGGTGGCGGGAGAGGAACCAGAGTGACCCTTGCTTGCCTGCTAACTGCCCTGTCTCTCACCACCCCAGTGCTCTCAGTTGCCCCGAGCAACCCACCTCTTTCTGTTGCTCTCCAGCAAACCCACCTCCTGCACCCCTGCACCCCAGCACCCCAGATGGGTACTTTCTGGTGAGGGTGGAAATGTGTGAGTTTGTACCGAAGATTCTAAGGTTAAGGGAAGTGTCACTCCACATCTCTGGGAGGGAGCCCTGGTTTCGACATCTTCTTTGGAAGTGAGACTCAGGGTCTGTGACTGCTCAGTTCCTCCCTCCCACACCGAGTAACCAAGGAAGGCTTAGCAACAAGTATCAGAGTATACAAAACGGTTAGGGGCTCTTGTATATTTCTAGCTGATGTTTTCCTGGGATACCTGCTGGAATTGCTAAACCCTTGACACTGTGGGTTAGCTGTGTGTTAGACAGACTCAGGGTATCTGTGCTTTCCCTCTGCAGCTTTACAGTTTCTGTTTTCCCAGCTCCCCCCCCCCCCCCCAGCAGGGGCAGCTTTGCCTGGGTCCTGTATCCCTTTTGGAGACAGCGAACCTCCTTGCTTACAGGTTAACTTCCTAGGGGACTCTTCTAACCCCAGAGTACCATACAGTCCGTCGAGCATGCCGTCGCATTTGGGCTGCTATCTTCTGCCCATATACAGTGAGGCTGCAGGAGGGTCATAAACAAGGGATGCTGAAAGGTAGCTAACCTGGCCTCTGGGAGCACACAGGAGGAGTCTCTACCCCTGGCCAAGAGGCAGCCACCTTAGGGCAGGTCCTGCACTCTTCCAGCCTTCAGTCTGAGCCCCTGGCCAGGGGTTGGTAGCTGGGCTAGTGGGCCTACCACAGGGACCCCAGAAGATGCAGGTGATATAGGCCAGCCCTCTGTAGGTCCTCAGGGGCACTCTACTTGTGACACAGAGGCACCCTAAGAACAGCAGCTCTTCTCTAAGGGCAGGCTCATTCTCCCTAGGGCGCTGACACTTGGGTTCATTGTTCCATTCAAGCTTGGCAAGAAGAGGAAAACCCTGCACTGACATTAAACATCCAAATCCTAGCCCCTGAGTCCTACCCCCCACCCACAAGCCCCCACCTTCCAGCCCCTATTCACCATCAATGCCATGCAGCTGAGTGGCCAGTGTGGCCTGCAGGGCCCGGCTGCTGTCATGGAGTGCTGTCTCCAGCTCCATTCGGCTATGGTTGGCCAGGTTCTCCTCCATCTCACTGGTGCAGCAGGTGTAGCCCTGGTGGCAGATGCGCAGATGCTCACCTGTAGGACAGGAAACGGTGGCGTGAGGGGAGGACATGGCCTCTAATTGCCCAAGACATGGCTCAGCTCACTTTAGGAGCCCTTTGCAAAGGCAGAGAAAGAGATAAGGTAGGGCAAGTCTGGGCTCCTGTGGCTCTGACTTCCAGGTCCTCTGGTAAGATTCAGGGATGCAGTACCACAGGCGTTCTTGAGTTATCAAGCGCTGAGCCTCAGAGCAGGAGTGCTGTGTGACCTATCCCCCCATCTCAGGCACACAAGCAGAGCCGTATCAGGGCTCCCAAAGAGACAGCTCGGCCACTGCATGAAGATGATGGGTTGCTGACTTGGGTTGAAACCTGGCAGAGGCTTTCAAGCCTGGGAGGAAGACAGAACCCAGCTTCTTCCTGGCCCCTCAGTCTCAGAGTCTACCTCGCTCCACACCTGACTGACAACAGACAGTGGAGTGCCCAGTAAAGACAGTTCTGCAGTGCCAGTGGCAGCACTCTGCAGGACCCTGGGTACCAGTCTGGGGTGAAGAAAAACATGCTCTGTGCAGGCACTGGGTCCCAAACAGAGGCTGCCCAATTCTGGCCTAAGGCTCTCACCCAGCTAGACATGTTCCTGGTCCCAGTGTTCTGGCTGAAGCTTCCCTCTCCAGTATCTCTCCTGGGCTGCGGTGTGGAGCTGTCACTCCCGGTGGCACTGTGGCAGCTCCACTCAAGACAATGTTGATTCCCACTTGCAGACAGGAGATTGCTCCGGCCCCACAACCAGCCGTGAAGTGTCCAGCATGGAGCCCTTACAGCACACTCAGCTCCTCCACACCTAACAGAGTCTCCTGCTATCAGAAGAAACTTCTAATGGGAGGTGTTAACCCTTCTGCTAAGGATACAGGGACACCAGGGGACCTGAGGTTTGGAGTTTAGGCTTTGTCCTAGTGTGGGACTGAGTTACCCAAGACCCACTGGGCCTGCCCCTGACCCCCGTCTGTCCCACTCCCTCCTCGCAGTCACATGGTTGTCTCTGAAGAGACAGACCCCACAGAAACTGGATGGGTCAGACAGAGGAGAGGTCGAGTTAGGGGCCCAGCCTTAGGTGGAGGGTCTGGGAAGAGGGAAGTGTCAGCAGGAATTCTAGAAGCTTCCCTTAGCCTGGCATGCTGACCTTGATGTTATAACTGTAGGGCTTACACCAGAAAGCCAGTGAGATGCAGTTTCCAGAGCCTAGAGTAGGTGCTAGGGCTGGCCCCTGGGTGCCAAAAATAGTATTGCATTAGCCTTGATGGAAAGGTAGGAGAAGGATGAGAAAAGGATTCAAGGATGTCATGCTGAGAGCTGCCATCAGGAGTGGCCCCTGAGGGGAGCAAGAGGAAGTGGACAGCATGTCAAGAAGTATGTGTGGGCAGGAAAGTACCGCAGGATGTGATCATGGCGTTGGGGGCAGAGGCCAGGTTTCTGTGACTCCTCGCCCACCTGAAGCCAGATGAAAGTAGAGATCCCAGCTTAAGGGATGATTCTGAGGTTGCATTTATCCGTAAGAGTCATGATCACATCCTTGTCTCCTGTGCTTCAGGGTGGGCCTGTGTGTGGCCTCTGTGACTTTGACCTGACATAAAAGAAACATATCCCCTGGTGTCTGGAGCCTGCCTGGAGATGGAGGCGTTGGGGGGTGGGAGGTGTTAGGGGTCACCAGAGGGCAAGAAGGGCCTGGATAGGTGATAGCTCTCCATCCGTTTTCTAACTCCCCACCCTCCTGCAGCAGAACAACCTCTAGCTCTGTTCTCTCAGGTTTAGGCTTGACTGTGATGCCCCCCTTCCTGCTTACTGAGGTAGGGGAGCTGTGCTTCATCTAGAACCCTGTGGGGAGTTTTGGCTGAGTCCCATATGGTCTCAGGGTCCCCAGAGGCCCACAGAGTAGGGAAGTGGCTGACAGTTGGTAGAAGAATAGAAGTGATTATATTCTGATTCAAGGGTGCTTGGGAGGGTCAAGAATAAAGGGCCAGAGACGGGAGGCACATGCTTACTGGCCCTCCCAGCGCTCCCCTACCTTGCGTCCTCTGCCTCCTCCTCCTGCCCAGGGTACCTGCCCCTTACAGGAGTTGTAGATCCTGGGAGCCATCATGTTATCAAGCACCCAACCTCAAGAAAGGGCTGGGTGGGGTCCAGACATCTGGGAGCTGCAAGCCTGGGACCTTTCCACCGGCCTGCATCTGTTCCAATCCCTTCCTTTTACAGCAGGGAGAGGTGAGCACAAGGTTATCCATCAGTAAGGAGGCCACCTGCCCACTAGGCACAGGGCTAAGCATAGGACCTGCCATTGCTCTGCTCCAGCTCAGGGTCTCCTGTGCTGAGGTGATAGAGTCCACGTCGCTCTCTGAGCAGGGGAACTTACAGGGTGACTACAACCTGAGGAGGGATCCTGGGAAGCATTGTAGAGGATCACCAGTCCCTGACTCCAGCAGTGAGCTGGGTGGGAACAAGCCCTAAGGACGGAGGCTGCAGGTGTCAGTATGCGGTTCAGGAGACATCTTGGGCTCAGCTGTGACAGCAGTACTCAGAGCAAAGGCATGTGTTGCAGGCCGAAGATTTCAGGTAGAAAATGTGAGAACACATTGGCAGGATAGAGTTGGGCACGTCCTTGCTGGACCCTTCCGCTGTTCCCTCTCTCCTGATATCCTCCTCCATCTTGGTGGACCCAGTTATGACCCCTCCCCATACAGACAGGAGAACGAAGCTGAAACAGGAAGAAGTTAAGTAAGGACACACACTCAAGAAACGGGCACTTGCCCCACTCTCCATTGCAGGCTCTGGATGAGTGGGACTCAGGAGACTCGTTACTAGCCACTATGAACGCATCCCATCCAATGGCTTCCCCTGCAGCCCTCTGGCTCTGCCTGGCCACCTCACCCAGCCAGCCCGGTGACCTGTGCTGTTCCAGTTGCCCCAGCACCGCCCCCGTCCCTCCCTCCCTCCTCGGACAAACACGGGAGTGAAGACACGGAGCCAGAGCCCGGGCACCGGCCTGAGGGCCCCGGGCAGGCTGGGCCAGGCTGCCCGGAAGCCCGTGCAGGGCAGAACTGCTTGTTGAGGGTCAAAGACAGGAGGCTTCTCTGCTGCCCGTTGAGCCCTAGACAGGAACTGCAGGTGAAACTGTAGGTGTTCAACATCAGAGCGGCAAAGGCTGGCTCTGCAAGGCTCTCCACACTTCCAGAGAAGCACCTTCTCTCAGTTCAGTCCCTGGGGAAAGGTAATTTTCCACTCTAACAGGATAAGCCCGCCATTTCCCAGCTCTGAAGGTGGGTGGGAACTGTAATGTTGTCCCCACTGATCCCACCCATCTCTATCAACCTGAGCTGATTTCATTTTTCCAGCTCTTTCCATCGTTGGTTTTTGGGGCACTGTCCTCCCCTGGGGCTCCTAGGTTTATTTGGGGAAGGGGTTGTTTGTTCATGGCCAGTTTTCCTCACCCTAGTCCCTTTTACTAAGCCTTGCCCCAAACCCAAAGCCTCCCAGATTCCAAGGCTCCTGATTCTTGTGACATCCAGCATGGCATCCCGTCGCAGCAAACCCGTGGGCAGCAACCTCTTATATACCTCCTCCCAGATCTGGCTGCCTGCACCCCACCTCCCCCACTATTATCCAGAGCAGACAGCAGCCTGTGGCATTCTGCCTATCAGGGTCACACCCGCCTGCCACCTGCTGACAGCTGCAGATTCTGCTCTTCCCTGACAGAGACAGCACCCCTCTTGGCCATCGGCAGTCACCCCAGGGCTTTAGCAGAGTCCAGCATCCTGAGGGCATTTTGGATGCTACCCACAGACCTCTCTGACCTGGCCTCCCCTGACACCTCAGGGACCCAGTGCTCTGAAACCCATTCTCAAGAGACTGCAGAGTCATGCCACACCTCCTCCCCCCAAGCCCATCCCTCCAGAAGCTTCCTGTCTCAGGGGAGGATACAGAACTGAAAAGCCTGCTTCCCTTACCACCCCTAAAATACTCCAACAGCCTGTATGGCTCGGGGCAGTGAAGGAATGTATAGAGGATATCTCTCAGCACCACAGTAGGCACAGCTAAGAGAGCTGCACAGGCCGCCTTCTTCCCCCACCCAGCTGCTGGCTCCTGGAGCAGGTCTTTCTGCTGACTGATGGGGGAAGTAAACCATCCCCGTGCTTCTGGTTCTTTCCAGTCCTAGAGGCGGAGGGTCTCCAGCGTGTGACAGATTGGTGGTAGCAAAAAGCCAAGAGAAAATGGCCCAGCTTTCCGAGGGACTACTCACTGCCCAGGCTCCAGGGGACTTCACTATTGCCTGCCCCATGTCACCAACAAACCTATCTAGTCCTGAGGGTCACACCTGCAGGAGGACATTTCAATCCCATCTCTGAAATTGATAAAGCACCAAGCTCTGCCCTCCCCCTTCCCTCCCCATCCTTTCCACCCTCCTGGATGCCTTCACGACCCCCAAGCCCGTCTCCATTTCACCCAAATGACAACATCACCAAGAAGAGCCTCCATCACGCACTGGGACCCCTAATTGGGGGGCATCGGCTGCTGGCACGCCTATGGGCTCCATGGGAGGGTCATCTCCAGACAGGCTAGGGTTCCTGCCAGCTGCCTCTCCAGCATCAGGCCAGGCCCCGGCGAACAAAAGCCTGGGCGACACCTGCAGCTCCCACCGCTGCCTCCTCCGCAACAGGGATGGTTCTGTGCAGCTGGAGCCAGCAAGCAGGATCTGCAGATGCTGGCGGCGCCTGCTCTGGCGGCGCAGTGAGGAGGGGGCGCTGGTGCAGTGGGCGCGGCTGGTGCGGAGTTCTGAGCTCTGCGGCAGGCAGAGGGGGGACTTGGAGGGGGCTGCGGCAAGCAGGAGATGGAGGGAGGAGAAGGAGGGAGATGTGATTGGCGGGGTAGGGGCTTGCCGCAGTGGGCGCGGCAGACAGGGGGAGGAAAGGGTGCTCTAAGGCTGCGGTGGGGGGTTGGGGCGCAGAGAGGGGGATGGGTTCAGCAGAGAAAGGGGGCTTGCTGCAGGATGGGTGCTGCGGCAGCCAGTAGGGGTGCAAAGGGAGGGACAGGGTTAGGGAGGGGTAGCCAGGATGGTGCAGGACAACTTCAGGGAGATGGGGATGGGAGCTGGAGAGACATGAGTGGAAATCAGCACTGGTGACCAAGCTCTTTGATGGGAAGGGGATGAGACACAGAGAGGCTGCGGTGGTGGTGGTGGTGGTGGTTGTGGGGTACGGCTGTGGGAGAATGGGGCTGAAGATGAGAGGTGAAAACGGGGAGGGAGGGGGATGCAGACAGGAACAGTGATGGTGGCTAGCAGACTTAGCCTGGCACGGGCCAGGGGACACCCTCCTGGCCTTAGAACCCCCTTCCTGGATGGCTGCTCCAGCGGTGGTGTCCCCAGCTGTGGACGCACTCCAGATGGCAAGTGTGACTCCCAGTGCCGGTGAAGTGGCCAGGGAAATACAGAGCAGCAGGACTCAGCAGGAAAAGGCCAAGATGAGGCTGGGGTGCCAGCATGGTGGGCTTTGCAGCCCAGGGCAGCAGGAGTCTCACTGGCACACACAACTGAAGGAGGCTCCCGGGATGAATGCATCTCTTGCAGTAGTAGCCTTCCCTGATGCACCTCACCCTCATCTCCCTGGAAACAGTAGGTGGCTGCGGACACCTCCCCCCTGTCCTAGGCCTGCGGTATTGTCCTGCATTTCTGAGGACCTGTGGATCAGGCCTCTTCTACCAGCCCCTGGCCAGGGGTGGGGGTGGGGTGCAGTGGGTGCTCTGGCTTATTGGTCTTAGCAGGGTAGATACTCATGGGGAACTAGGGCTAGCTAGAGATGACCATGGATGGTGACTTTTCTCCTGAGAGTGATAGCTAACTGCCTCGAGGGGGTTCCTCTCCAGCAGAACACCAGCTCTCCACTGTTTTCTGGGTACTCAAAGGTCACCATGGTCTCCCAGTCCTAATACCCCTTGCCCCAAGGACCCTTCTCCCTAGCCCCTGCCTCTAGTTCCCTGATATGCTTCTCTCGGCCAAACTAGCCCCAAACTCCTCCCATGCCACTCTACGGTCCCTGGCCCTCTGTTGATCATCCCCCTTTCCAGCCTTTGATTGCAGGTGGGGAAAACCACTTACTCACACTTCCTCCCTGAAACTATAGGTCCCGTCAGCCTGCCTAGTCACACTGCTGCAGACGCAGGAGTATGCTGGGCGAGCAGCTGTTCAACCAAGGGCTTTCGGAAGACTCTCCAAAGAAAGGGCTCTACCCTGACATGGCTACCCTCTAAACTGCCTGCTCTCCACTCAGGACACCTAACCAGTGAATGCTGGGGAGGGGTGCCTCATATGGCAAAAGGTCCCACTGTGGCAAAAGCTTTTGGCCCAGTGTCCATAGCTTATGCTATGTTCTTGGACACATTAGAGATGAGGAGGACCCTGCATTTATGTCTACCAAGACCCTGCCTTATGACTTGGCTGCAGGGGAAATCCCACTCAGAGCTTTCAGTGCTGCTTTGTCAACTCAGTGAACTGCAGCCCTGCCTTCCTGATCAGTCCATCCCCAGGTAAGGTGGGGATTCCGGTGGGATGTACATGAAACAGAGGTTCATGCCAGGCCCCCTGGGCTCCACACTGTTTTCTCATCTAGATAGACCACCAGCCCACTTTTGGGCCACAGGGCAGCTGAGGAGGCCTAGAGGAGGCTTCCTCAGATGTGTCCACATGGAATAAAGGCACATAGTGCAGGCTCCGCCTCAGCCCTGTAAGGACCAAACTGGCAGAAGTGGTAAAGAGATGTTATAACCAGGATGGAGTCCAGGACAAGAACACGGGGCCACTGGTTGCCAGCCCAGCTGTTCCTACTGGCTTGGTAGCTATCCTTCTGGACCATCCCACACCTTCCTGCAAGGCCTGCTCACCGCCCCCCCTTCCCAGGAAGCTCCACTTCTTTTTGTCCACCTCTCCCAGCAGCCATGTCAGCTCTCATGTTAAAGCATGTATAAATACTAGAGGTAGGAGCACTTTTGCCCAGTGCAGACATTTCTGGAACAAGGCTACTG